TGTGGCAGAATGATGTACAAACAATGCTGGAATTTCACTGGCATCTACAATACCTTCGGTACCCTTTTCCGCACTCAGAACAACAAACCTATTTTTGGCTGTAGTTGATGACTTTGACACAGGATTGCGGGGACATTCGAGTTTTCACAATGGTGTTGCTTCTGTGCTACTTTCGTTGTTTTGTTGTCACATTCATTTTTGTTTCAATTTTTTGGAGTTTGTTCAACATTTTTGCGTTGGTGATCCGGAGAGAAGGATGTTCAGCATTGTGGTGCTGCAACGCAAACTTTCAATAAAGTAAACAAATAGTAAGCGTCAAGAAAACAAACCCCAAACCTCACTCCCACTTCTGTGCTTCGTTGACATAGGGTCTGTGTTTTACTTGTTACTACTTTGTGTTTTCATTCGTTCACTTACATTTTTTGCTGGTCTGAATCGATTTTTTACACGTCCTTAATTTGAAGACTGTACTGTATGTCCCATAAGTGGCAGGCAATGGGTGTATGCGGTGTATGTGAAGAAGAATGCTATGCAATATTTTGTGTTTGTTTTCTTTTCAGAGGTTTAATATCCCAAGCGCTGCAGGACAGTTGGCAAGAACCTACATCACTCTGAATCATATTTTTGCGAGCACGGAATCTAGATAAACAGCGCTGTTTGCTACCCCATCCATTTTGTTTACCGCAATTTCCCGAACTTTACGTCGTGACTTTTCTCACCCAAACCAAAAAAACTGGATATCCTCTGGTAATCAAACACAGCAATGAGCAATTCACCAATAATTAATTCAATTAAAATTTGTCATTAAAACACCATTTATAGATGATCTCCCATTTAGATAAGAAACAATTGCCCCTTTTGTCATGTGTATGTATATATATATGTATATGTAATATATATATATATGCTCATCCCCCCCAACCAGGGCCTACCTTTTTTCCTATTACATTGACTGTTTCAACCAGCGAGGTCAACCATCTGCTATCTGCTATCTGCCAAAAAAAAACAATGCATTGGAGAGCCTTCTCCCCTTCCCCATCCCAAAGTAGGTTTCCCAAAACTTTGATTTTTCTGATTTTTTTTGTTTTTTATTTGGTTTTCTTTTTTCTTGGTACCCCTCCCCTTCCAAAACCCAACCCAAGACAAGTCATCCAAAATGTGCGTATGTCTATTCTTTCTGGTGTGGGGGAGAGGTGGTAAGCTAATAGTTTAAATATATCAGATGCATCGCTATTTGGGTGGTTTAAGCACTCTAAACCCTATCTCCATTTGACTAGAAAAGGCTTGTGGCAAAATTCCTTTGACACTAGAATGTATGTGTTTGAAGTCTGTGAAGACACTATTCTAGTGTTTCCATGTGATTGTGTTACAGTACTACCTTCCATTGAAAGAAGTACTGTAAGCCACTTTTGTTAGAAAGAGAAGGCAACCCCCTCACTGATTTGTTGAACAGGTTATTGGCATGTTCAATGAAATGGTTACCTTTGATACAATGCCATCAATGCAGTCTGCGCTGGGCCAGCAAAAGTCCACCAAATAACCTGACGTTAATATTTTTTTTGTAGCCAGCTGGTCTCACACCAATGCCTTGCCATAGTACAGTCTGTCATCGTTGAAGTTATATTCTAGTTAATATATGTTAATAGTGAAAGTACATTTAATGGTTCATTGTTATTTATTTATTATTGTAATAGTGGAAGCACATATAATGTTGAATGAGTTTGAGCTGCGCAGCGCAGCAGTTGACCCCAAAAAATGCAACACATTGAGCGAAAGGCAAAATTGCAAACAATATCAGGCAATGCAGTTTTTTTTCACCTGCTTTCATTGCCCAAACAGAAATATGTATATAGTCTATTAAGTTTTGTGCCTGTGCTACATTCCCAGCTCTGAAGAAATGAGGTTCTTCAAAGAAGTGCAGTTTTCCTTACAAAGCATCCACTTCAACCAAAAAAGTTGTTGTCATTTATAAGCTGGTGGTTGCTTTTGAGCTAGTCAAATGTTTTTTCAGGAAGAAATCTCTGTGTGAAGGTTGGGTTCTTTTTATAGAAAAACAATATGTGTTATCTACAGTGTGTATTGTGTTCTAAAGTGCAGTATTCCTGTCTCATTCCTTTATCATGGTAACATTCCTTCAGGCAGATGCTGTTTTCTTCAAAGATTGAATATCTAACTTAAAATTGCAATCGTATTTAAACAGTTTAGTTTAAAGAAGAGACACAATATTGTGTCAAAATATGCAGTGTATCCTCCAAAGATGTAGCATTCCCCTCAAAGAAGCTCAGCTGGCCTTTATGTTTGAAAGTAGCACCATTTCTTAAACAAAAAATGTACCACACCTTTTCATCGAAACCCAGCTGCTATCTCTTTGGAAGGAGCACCATTTGTTTGAAGGAAAGGCTTTACTCACCAAAAAGAAAATTGAATCAGCTGCCTCTTTTGAAAGTTACACAATGTTTTGAACATATGTAACAATCCTTTGAATGACACCATTTCTTTGGAAATATGTAACACTCCTTTCAAAGAACTCCAGCTGCGCTCTGCTGGGACAGGAACACCATTTATTTGATAGACAGGTTCCTCACCAAAAACATAATTTTACATCCCCAAAGGCTTCACACCTGAAACGAAGAATTGCACATCCCCAAGGAATACTACGCATGTTTAGAATACAAGAAATTGTTTAAGAATGACTTGACAAGAATGCCTTGGGGGCAAGATGAATCAGATTTGGTTCTGATTAATCTGGATTAATCTGGATTGATCTTAAGAAACCAACCACGCAAAGAAATGGTAGTATATAAATAACACAAAAAGCTGGACAGAAAAATACTTGTTTTTTGTACTGCAAATGCCACCAACAAAAAGCTCAAGGTAGTCCCTGGTGGGGGGATGACCATATATATATATATACACAGAGAGATGATATATATAATATATATATATATGTATGAATGAAAGGCGGACAAAATTACTTATTACTCGCAATGGACATGGCCAAAGTGGGTGGTCCCGTATCGGTTGTGAAGGTTTGTACTTACATGCTATGTGTAAAAATGGGGTATCGGTAAATGGGTGGTCCCCTATCGGTTATGAAGGTTTTCACGCAAATTTGAACATCCCAACTCCAATCCCTATACTATTTTAGTCTTCCTCTAACTTTGTCGGTTACTCATATCTTTGATTGCGAAAGTATATCTCAAGGAAATTATATCACGCGCCCTTCGAGTTCCGCCACATATCTGTGGCTCCCCACTGAGCTGATCTGTGAAGGCTGTAACCTGCACCTGCCAGATCTGGCCAGTTGGTAAATGGTGGTAACTATGAACTACTATACATCATGGGATTATGATGGGATCATAATGGGATAAACCTCATCAAATGAGATTATAATGGGATTATACCTATGAACTATCATTGGATTAATGAAGCATATTTAGCTTTGCAACACCAAACAAATAATGGAATTATAATGGGATAAACCATCTATATACTTATAATATGTTTGGGATATAGTCTATATATAGTTGTATATATATATATTATAATATGGGATGTCAGATGATTCCAATGGGATTATACCTATAATATTTATGGGATATTATACCATCCACCCAAATACTGAGATTATTACATGATATTTGGCTATGAAACACCAAACAGATAATGCGATTATACTTCGATGAACTATCTATTGAGATGATAGTACCACGTGAAGTGGAAAACACCAGTTTTTCAACATGTTTTTTCGAACACCATCAACCACTCAATACTACTCATGAATGTATATGAATGTAACATTACAATGCGTACTCACTCATGCTTTTTGACAATCTATCTTTACCTGTCCCAACTCCTGACTTTCAGTTCCTGGATGGTTCAACAGGGGGAAAAAAAAACACGGGAACATGTCCCAAAACCATAGCAACACCAAGGGGCTAGGTCTTGATGCCCTCTCAAATCCTACCAGCATCATCTCTTGGTGATCTAAACATCCATATCTGCATCCTTGGACAAATCATCAAAATATACAAACAAAAACTTAAATGGATGGGACTTTGGATGCGGACGTGGAATAGTTGCTTTGAAAAAACACAAGTTGCAATGATATGGCAGTGTGTCAAAACCTTGTACCCCTGGTGAACATCAAAATAGCTGGTAAATGGATGTTCATCCCCCTAAAAATGGTATTAATAGGTATTGATCCATACCCATATCTTACAAGTATCGTATTACTTAAATCTTCTTGACAATGCTTCTGCCCACTTGCACGAAATCTGTGCCTTCGAATCATCAAACATTGCCAACTGGTAACTGCTTGGTGGTTTCAACATGTTTCAACCCCCTCGTTTTCACAAGGCTCGTCACTTCGGATCATTCTCCTACCCTCTGGTAATTTAACATAGCTATTGAAAATGGCCCATTTATAGTTGATTTACCCATTAAAAATGGTGATTTTCCATAGTTATGTTAGTTTACCAGAGGGTAAATAGGTTGAACATGGTTGAACTGTTTGAAACCACAAACCAAACCAGTTAATCTTGGTGATATACCGCGCCAGTATATCCCCAATATACCCCAATATCTCACCATGATCTCCCCGTTTTAAATGGTAGGATCATGAAAACTCCCATTATATCCCCACTTCAAATGATAAAATCTCATGATATCATTATTTTAAATGGTGAAATAGCATTATCTCACACTTTTTTGATGGTAAAATCCGAGAACTCCCCAGCCATTTTAAGGGTCTCATCTACGATCGTCGAAAGTCACTGGACCTCGCAATTCTCACTGGTGGGCCAGGGCAAGTTGCCGTCCAGGTAAAGCCTGGCATACAATATATATATATATATATGTGCATATATAAACATGTCAAAGGTGTGTGTGTGTGAATGCCTTATACATATCTACAGTATATATATATATATCTATATGATGTGTATATATATATACTGCATATATATATATATATGTGTTGATTGCACTCTGTGGCCTGCTCACCGCGCCCTCTTTTTCTCTGGGGCACGCCTGAAATGAGTGTGAAGTGGCCTTGTCAAATCCAAGGCTAGCAAGCAATGCGAACTGATCGAACTGCCAGGTATCGAGATTGCAAAAATCAGCTGATTTTCGATGGTGCTGATGCACCAAGAGACCCGTGGTGGAGGGGTGGTGGTGGCGAGCCTAGAGACTGGTCCACATGATTGTCACTCAAACATGCTGCTCATGTGTTGATTGCACTCTGTGGCCTGCTCACCGCGCCCTCTTTTTCTCTGGGGCACGCCTGAAATGAGTGTGAAGTGGCCTTGTCAAATCCAAGGCTAGCAAGCAATGCGAACTGATCGAACTGCCAGGTATCGAGATTGCAAAAATCAGCTGATTTTCGATGGTGCTGATGCACCAAGAGACCCCCAAAACCACCAAACTTTCCAGCGCAAACTTGTTCCAGTCAAGGGTGAATGCGGACAAAAGGTTGAGCCCCTCGCCCATATCTCCCGAGAACTGCGCCAAAGGCCACACAAAAGAAATGCCAAAACCATGATGAGTATGAGAGTTCGGCAACTTGGTGTTGTTGAGGGTTGGGGAACAAAGTCCCAGGAATCTGCTCCGGCACTGGAAGAAGTGTTGTTTCCATCTGGTATGCGGCTTCATCTAAAATAGAGTCTACCAAAACAGTGAGCAGATAGAGACCTCTTCGAAAAGCTAACCTAATGGTGATGCCCAAAAGTCGACCACATAACCGACTAAACGCTGGTCGGGAAATCACCAGCATGAAGAAACTGAAGGCGAAAAAAGCCGAAATCCAACGTCCTTTGCACTTACCATACGTCCATCGTCCAAAATTGCAGACGAATTGGTAGCCCCAAGCTTTCCAAGTCAAGCTGACAGAGGTTGTAGGGACTGAATTGGCACTCTGGTGTCCAAGGCAGGAGGGCTCGTCATCCGGAGCCACTGTTTCGGCAGCCACCCACTGTTTACAAAACTGGGCAAATCTGGGATCCCCTCTGTAGGATTTAGCAGCTTTTCTCAGATCGGTTTCCGAGACGTCACCGTAGTGTGCTCCTTTCAAAGTTCCACCGACAATGGAGATCTTTCTAAACTTCTTCCGCAAGGCTTCCCCACCTCCTGCAGACTTTCCAGAGGGGTTCTGCGCGGAGGAAGCAGCCAAGTCCATGGGATAAAAGTGATTCAAAATTCAAGGGTTCAGCCAGTTTGTCTGGCAAAGCTAGCAGGAAATATCCTTTGCTGATCAAAGTGCGAATGCGCTCACTAACCTTTAATGGGATCTGTAACACAAGCTGCTGTGCTTTTGCTTGTTGAATGTAATGCTCAAGTGACTGCGGACTAGCCCACCGACCTGCGAGTCTCAAATGCCCCACATCCATGCATTGGTCAAACATGAAGGTTGCACCACCGGCTCGCAGTGAAGCTGGACTAAAGGAATGGGATTGCTTCAACAACTTAGTGCAGACCTGTTTAAAGAGAGCACGAAAAGCACTTGCACCATGAGGCCAAAGGGGTTGACCTGGCTTAGCATGTTCATACACCCAAGTTATCCAGTTACATATATCAGGTTGTTTGACTACGGCAAACTGAGCATGCCCAAGCTGACGGAAATTCTTTGGCTTTCGGATTCTGACCGTCACACAAGGCAAGCCGAGTGACAGCTGGTTAGGGATCTCGACATCTTCGCGGGTCAAGTTCAACAACTCACCAGGTCTAAGCAAACCAAAAAAGGCAAGCCCGGTCAAAGCACTGAAAACGAGTAACTTTTGCTGATTGGCACCAGGTCCAGCGTTCAAGCCGATAAGCCTTGCTTTGCAAAGCATGGCCATCATCAACACTAATGGCATTGGCGCTCTAAGTTGGCTAGGTTCTTGCTCTTGCCAGGCTTTAACAGTGGTCCAACATGTTTTCAACAGACCTCGAACATCGGGTCTGACTGTTTGGACAAAAAGTATGGCATGCTTGGCTACACGAAGGATTCCCTTTCGTCTGGATCTGTGCTGATGGAGATGATTCACAAACTCGTCTAACAGTTGATCCAGCAGCTGAGCTGAGCCTTTCTCCAGTGTCTTTGTGCTGATCTGATGTTCACGCAAAAAGCCACAAAACGATGCTCCACTCTCAGTCAGTCTCTGTCGATAGGGAGCGCTGAAGCGCGCCAACCGCAATCTGATACCAGCCACTTTACTGGCAGGCATTACTTGCCAACATGCAGAAGTGATGTGCAAACAAAAAACTACGGCAGTCTAATTCATGCTTAAAAAACTGAACTGAACTGGACCTCATGCAAACATGCGAATGCAGCACTTGTGGTATGTTTGACATAGCCTAGGGGGATATGCCCCGGCTAAAGTGGATCTCTTCTTCCATCCTTGTGCTGTCTTTACACCACCTATAACATGAACATGATCATGATGGCCTGAGCAGCTGCGTTGCAGGCACAACAGCCCTGGCAAAGTTCCGACTATAGTTGTGGGTTTTTTAGCGAGTCCGATGCAAGTATCGTTCAGGGGAATCTTTAACCCATATTCGCACTGATCGAAGCTGACTCTAACTGCAGAGGTTTTGCGAACTAGTTCACACAGAGCATCCAACTTCCAAACATAAGATGTCTTTGGATTTTCTATGGTGAAGAAATTGCCACTGGCATGCAATATGGTACACAACAAGAAGGTGCGTCGAGCAAGTTCATTACCCCTGATTTCACGTGCAAGTGTCCCAGCTCCTTCAGGGTGGTCACTGGCTCTAGTCCCATGATTCATGTTTTGCATCAAACTGAAACTATTACATGGTAACCCAAAATGCCAAATCTGTCTTGGCTTGGCAGCATCGGCACACAACTTATGGAACGTGTCGTCACTAAGCAAGTCATGCTCAGGAGATTCTCTCCCTTTTTGGATAAGTTCTAGGGGTGAACCAACGTTGAAACAATCAGCATGCAAGAATGTCTTACTGAGCCTACCACAACCTGCAAATATCTCTCTGAATGTCCACTGGCTCATCGCAGGGTGATTCGGTCCTGCCTTTTTGCTCTCGGACGACGGAGCTCCGTCACGGCTTACGAAATTGACAGCCTGCTTCAAAATCTTTCGGTTGGACTTGCGAGTCTGCAACTCGGGCCTGGGTGCCCCAAAAATCCTACGTATTGTTTCATCATTTTTTGGTTCTGGTATTCTGCAAGCTCGGGAAGGATGGTCCGAGGGATTTCTTTCTGACCTAACCCAAACCAGGTGCAGACTTTTACGACCACACAAACTCCAACCTATCATAGACCGCAAAATGCGGTTCAGCTGTTTTGATGACGAGCGACCCCGGGCAAATGCTCCTGCTGCTACACGTGAATCGACTAGGTTTACAGCACGCATGGGAGCGGTTGTCTGCTTCACTAAGTCTTTCAATTCCTCTTTGATCATCTTAAGTTCAAGTATGTTGATGTGCTGTTTGTGCCCGAATTTTATCTGCTGAGTGGTGTTCCAAACATGGGCAGCCATGAGGTCCTCTAACTCCTGTGGAGCACTTACCATGTCGGAGGGAGGGGCCAAACGCCCTTTCTCCCAGTCAAGTCGAACGTGTTCACCCTTATGTTCCGAATATCTATACAACGTTTCAGCAATGCTCTGGTCGGTCAAAGTGGCAGCTCTACCCCCACCATCTAGACATGCATCACTGGCACCTACCCTAGGGCTGACTTGCCATTTGATATTAGAGTGACATAAGGGCAAACAAAGCACAAACATGAGCAGCTCCTCTCTTGCTGCTGCAGGCAGACGACGGGCTTCTGAGTCGTCTAATTTTTCAACCCAGAGGTACACTTCTTGCAGCAAGGACATCAGCAGTCTTTGGTGCATGGATGGGTGAACCAACAACCCTAGGGTTTTCTGCAGCAATTTCTTACTGACCTTTTTTAGTGAACAGACTTGGACTATCAACTCAGACAACTGGACAAGCTTCTCACGAGGGGTGCCTACCCTACCAGTGGATCCTTCAACATGGGTACCCCAAGCCGTAAAACTAGGTTGATGGGTGAAAGCTTTCTTATCTGAAGTGGGAATGCCTAAGTGTTCATACTGCTGCCTACTTGCTTTAAGGATCTCATCATCCCGGAATGTTTGTTTGGGGTTACGTAACTTCTTTTTGGGGAGTACTTGCATCACGATGTGGTCATCGATATAAAGTCCTTCCCAGCAGTGGCTGGCTGGAAGCAAGTCTCGATACGCAATGACCTCTGAGCTCTGCATGCACCCTGCGTCCTGGAGGACCTGGAGATGAGTTTCCTGAGCAATGTCCACAGCGTTAGTGTCACCCATTGGAATAACACGAAAGCACAACACATATTTGGTTTTGGGATCACATCCATACTTCAAGAAGTCTTTACCAGAAACGGGGCTACCTATGGCATTGCGGTGCAACCAGCTTTCTCTGTGCTTCAAGAGATAGAAGTAATTTGATAAGTCATCACCCGAACCACGAATGGTGTGGCCAGGGGGAACTATTATTTGTGTGAGTAGTGCACCATGTGGAAGTTTTGCCCAGACAAGTCGTCTCTCTAACTGGTTCTGCGGACGCCTGTCACAAATCACTCGGTCAGTGTGTTCCTTATGAGGAACTGCGAAAAGGCCCCCAGAAACGATTTTGCCAGTTTCGTCTCTGAGGGCCATGGACACAGGCAAGAGAACGGCTACCTGCGAATCTAGGAGTTTTTCATACACCGGCACTATGTGTTCGGGTTTGATTTTGAAACAACCTTTTACTTTCTTCTCAGGAATGTCACTATGTGGGACATGTTCTACCATGTTTTCGAACAACTCTTTCTTATGACCCTTCAAGTGATCTACAGGGTCTAGAATGCCTCCGATTTCAGGGAGAGACATCCTTTCGGGCTCAACATGCTTAGCTACCGTCATCAGCTCGTCTACTGTGTAAGGTCCAGGTTTATATTGTGAATTCTTAATTGACATCACTAATTCATTGAGTTGTGCCATTCCGCGTCCTAGAGGCTCTGGCTTTCTAAGGCGGAGAAACTGGTGAACTTGGTCATGCAAAAAGCCGGCGTACTCAGCATGCATCTGAGTCCAGGAGGCCGACGAGGCTCTGTCGGCCAACCGTACTTGGTCTGTTTCACTAAAAGGGCATCCCCCTTCCAAAAAATTGAAGAGGTTCCATAACACTTCAACATAGGACCAAGTAGCTACCCGGCCTCGTCCTCGACAGTTCCTACGAGAACTCTGAGCAATGCACATGGGAGGCACTACTAGCAAGGACGGAAAAAGTTCACCTACCTTCGTGTTGTTGCATGAAGGTGTCCTAGGCCCCGACCCTTCATTGGATCTAACTTGCAAACATCTGAGAAAACGACTAAAGGAACCATGATTGCTCTCAAGTGCCCTCAGAACTGAATTAAAGGCGACTGGCTTCGCAGGCGCTGTCTTAGGCTCATCAGTGGCCACACTCAGTCGTGGCCTGCCTCCTCCTTCGGCTTGTCCTTCTCCTTGTCGCGGCTTTTGCCCTTTCCCTTTCCCTTTTTGGGAGGGACAGCGGCTTCGCCCTCTCCTCGATCTGCACTTCCCTGAGCGGAGAAGCGGGCTTTCTCAGCATTTTTGTTCAGCTCTGCCATTGATTTGAGGTAGCTTGTCACATACCCCAATTCCTCGGCACTGCCTCCCCACTGAGGTTTTGTCCATGGATCCGGCAGATGAGTCAAAAGCCAGGCTATGTCCCACGTTCCATCGATGGCGGCTTGATGGATGCTTCTCAGACAGAGCACTGTTTGCAACGCAGCTTTTTCCACTTGCCCCTTCAGAAGCCGGGTGAGAATCTCGCTGAGCATGAAATGGCATCGCTGCAGTGAGCGCTGTTTCCCCCACTGCACTTTCCGGCCATATTCGGACAGCTTGTAAGGACGGTCTTCCGCCCCCAACTCTTTCTCCACCTCCTTCACATAGAGCTTCACATAGCGAAGAGGCTTGCGGAACATCCGCTTCCGAGAACCTTGGTAAGATTCTATGGCGCGAGCATGTCCTCGCTTGCGGTGACTTGACGACCCACTGCTGGACGCACTGTCGTCCAAACTTTCTGCATCTCGAGAAGAACTGCTGCTTTTTCGTTTCTTGCTCTTCTTGGACTTCTTTCCCAGCGTTTCTGCAAGCTGGAGCGCGAGGAGAGTTTGGAGTGGATCTTGACCTCCTTTCAACTGTTTGAGCAGAAGTGCAGGATTGGTCAATTGTTCCACTTCGGACTTGACTTCTCTCTTTTTGCTGTTTTCCAGAAGGGCAAAACGACTCTTTGATTTGCTTGGCGCTGATTCTTGCTTTTCTCGTTTGATATCCCCAACGTGCCATGACTTTGCTGCTTTCGAAAGAATCCCTAGATCCTCCGAACCACTGCTGCTGTTGTTTGATTCTGACGATTCCAGGACTTCGGACTTGCGACCAAACTTGGCCTTTTTGGGAGGCCTCACCTCTCGATCTGAGGCTGTGGCATAAATCAGTTCTGAACCGCTCTCCTCCAACTCCTTTGCTTTCGAAATCAACATCTCTGACCCTGTTGCCAGACTCAGAACAGTTGAAACACCAAAGGCTTTCAGTTGATGAAGTTCGACTTCGGCTACAAAAAAGACTTTGCCGTCTACCTCGAAATGCGAAAAGTGATTGGCTATCTCTGATAGCCTTTTGGCCCTCACCAAAACTCGAATCCAGCTGTTTTCGATCCCTACGACTAGAACCTCTCTGCATCTTGGCTCTTCAAAAGTTTCAGCAAAATTTATGTAGGCAGTGTCACCTACATTCGGACCCATTCGTAATACTCTGTGCCAATCTCTCGGTCCGGGAGAGGAAGTTCTTCCCGAAAGAGCCTTTCAGCAAGCTCTAGGGAATTGCAACGCCGCCACCTAATCCCACCAAAGGTGCCTTGATTCAGTCGTAGAATTCCAGCGTAAGCCCTGATGCCCAAACCCCAATGCAAGCCTCTGAACTGCAAAGGGTTATCAGCCAGTGGAACGCGCCAGACCACGTAGATACGATATTCCCAGTCAAAGATTATGCACGTCTCGGGCTTTTGAGCTTTCTTTTCAGAAATTGGCTCGGAGTCTTCTTCGAAGGCTAGGGACGATATTCCCAGTCAAAGATTATGCACGTCTCGGGCTTTTGAGCTTTCTTTTCAGAAATTGGCTCGGAGTCTTCTTCGAAGGCTAGGGAGAATGACTGAGCTACTGTGCTCGAGCCTAGAGACTGGTCCACATGATTGTCACTCAAACATGCTGCTCATACATATCATAACATATATCACATATATATATATATACATCACACATTATATACATCATAGATCTACTTCAAAAAAGGTATCACAGCTCTGTAAATGTCAAACATGAATAATGAATAACCCAAAGAATGAATATAAACGTGTTGCGGGAACACCTGTCGGCTTAGACTGCGCGCGTCACGTCCCTTTACCGTTCCTGGGCGACGTGCCTCTGCAACGCTTTCGCAGCACAAACTGCCTTGGCCATGGATGCACAGTTGGATGATCATTAGTTATCCATGTTTTAGCCCATTTACATCCATTTACAGTGTAAGGGGAGATATTCCAGACATTGACCAGGTATAGAACTCGGATGATCCCTGGGACCCCTAGCATTTTCTAATGTCTGCTGTGGGAAAAGCACGACGGGATACCATCTGTTTATTGTATTCTGGGTTTTTGCATGACTGTGTGCACCATACAATACATATATAAATATGTCGTATCTAGATGTATCTAGATACAACATAGAATTACACCTTGAAAATCAGTCACTTACCCTGCACATTCTGCACATTGTATCTACATCTACACGATCTCAAAGTCTCCCGCTGCACCGCTGCCAGGGTGCTCTGAACATAACTGCGGAAATCTGAACACTGACCTGATTCGGCAGGCGACAGCTGCAGCGGAAGTCCAGTCAAAGGGTGCCATGGACAAAACACAGTATCTGGGGCCTGGGGTATGGTCATCTATCCCAGTATGGGGCATCCCCTTTATGGGACCATAAAACCATGTTTTGGCCATAATACAGTGGAGTGGAAGAAAATCACCAATGGCACCAGTGGTGCCCCATCCCATCCCGCCTGGTTCTCAGAGAAATCAAACTCCGTGAGCGACGTGATCGACCTGAGAACCATGCCGTGAAGTGACCGTTTTTCAGCAGTCCGTTAGGGTCTGCTGGATATAGCCCAACTGTTGGGCTATGTTGGGCTAAGCAGCTACTAAGCATTTCAAAATTCCCTATGTTTGCTGTTCCATTAGTAACATGGGGTATATACATATATTTCCTGATCCCACCAGCAATTATCCTAGCCCAACTCAGCATGGTTAAACCCAAATCTTTGATCCAATCCCCATGAAATCCTGATTTTTCAACAACTCGATTCCTTATTTTGGGGCATCAAAATAAGTTACCAATGTCTAACCAATGTTCTAACCACTTAAATACCAATCAATTGTACCTATTAACATTTTATTAATACACATGTCTGACCATTTCCAAATCAAATACCCATTACCCTCTGGTAAACTAACGTAACTATGGAAAATCACCATTTTCAATGGGAAAATCCACTATTTCAATGGTGATTTTCAATAGCTTTTTGTATGTTTACCAGAGGGTAAGCATGGATTCACCATTCACATTGCCAAGAGGCATCAGTGCTTCGGCCAGTGCTTCACCGCCCTCATCGCCGATACCTTTCGACGGTAGTTAGACGGTCCAAAACTCTACAAGTGGTGTTTTTTTCTTCAATGAAAATCTGGGTAAATTATAATATTTCAATGACCTGAATTAAGGCCATTTGGGGATGATTTCCATTATTGACCATGATTCCAGTGAGGTCGCAGTGAGGTCGTTATAATTTACCCAGATGAAAATGGGGACATCATGTGAATTTATCCAACAAACATGTGGTATTCAACATGATGGAAAAACCAAGAAATTTTTGGTGATCGCATTGTGATTGAAAAAGCTGATTTTGATAGGCTATAATGGAAATTGATCACAGCAAAATGCAGATGTATCCAGCAAAATATGGGAGATCAGGTGGTATACTGGGAATATGTGGGAAATTGACTATGAAAGATGAGGATTTAACCAGCAACCATAGTGCTATCATGGATTTAATGATATGATGGATTATGTTTAAACTATAGCGTCCCCTAAAAGGACCACCAAAAGTCACATTATCTCTATCTTCTGGGGGTTCATGTAATCGTTTACATGATAAACCAATGGGTAGAGTAACACCGAACCGATGGATAATATTGTTATACATCTGTATGTATATATATATATATATATGCAGAAATAATGGTACTTCATATTACCCCAATGGATTTAGTTGGAATAGACATTATTTGCAGCCAAATGATCAATATACCAAGAATTTCAACAGGCTAACATATCATTAAACTTGACCTACCCACACAAGTAAGATCATGATGTTGAATAGACTCAGTGTCTAGGTGTCTAGGAAGGCTTCACATGAATCATGTCTTTGGGCCACATCTGTTGTTTTGAAGATTTTTGAAGTATCTTGTTGGCAAAATGATTGAAAAACATCGATTACCGATTACCCTCTGGTAAACTAACATAGCTATGGAAAATTACACCATTTTTAATGGGACAATCCACTATTAATGGCTATTTTCAATAGCTACGTTAAATTGCCAGAGGGTACCATACGAAATGATCTCAATTTTCACCAAAACATCATGAGGATGGAACCAACTATGAAAATTGCTGTCACCCCTGTGGAAACATAGTAGTCAATGGGGAATCCTCCGTAAGAAACGTTTAAGGAAGAATGAGCTAGGGTAATACGTATAGTGAATCCTGGTTTCATGGGGAGAAAAGACGTGAAGTCAATGAACAGTGCTGGATACTTGATGAATGGGTATGTTAATGTACTGATATGGTGAAGTATCATAGTAATGACCCCTGGCAATGGTGGCTACGGGCAGTTGGACTGCTGCTAAGTCACTTCCAAAGGTTTTGGGTAGTTGCAACATCCAAATTTCACCCAGAAGTGACCTATACTATTCCCCTCTTTGGGACACACTTCTCTATTTTTGGTATTGTTGGTGGTTACATCTGGAATCTCCCAATATTTACTGATCAAATCTCTACTGTCGGTGGTCATTTCTAGCAATTCTCGTGGAAAAATCAGTATAAAACCGGAACAGCAGCAACATCAGCTCGGTAGATGAAACACATATATCGGTATACATATGATACCCTCTGCATGTAAATCAAGATAGACCCTGCCATCAGTCGGAGGTTGGAAGATTCGTTTCCACTGAAAATGGGCAAACTCTTCAGGATCAAACTGTTACTAGTTACTGGATTATGAAAAACATAGCCATAGAAAATCACCATTACTATCACCATTACTATGGCAACATCATATCAAATTACCCTCTGGTGAACTAACATAGCAATGGAAAATGGCTATTTATAGTGGATTTTCCCATTAAACATGGTGTAATTTTCCATTGCTATGTTAGTTCACCAGAGGGTAACTGTATTTCATCTATACATGAGCCGTTTTCATCCATTGTCCACAGCTATGTCACATGACCACAGGGTGAACCCCGGCACCGTTGCTGCGCAGCCGCAGCACAGCCAGCGAATATCCCGAAGATGGACCTTGAGACGCTGATGACATGATGGGAATGGACTGACATTGATTAATATGATGTGTATACATACACAAATTTCTTTAAAACATGTGTATATAATATATATATATATGTATACATATTTATTCATATTTATATGTGTATATATATATTATATATAATGCCATTATGTATAATATGTATATATATATAAATACATATATAGATTGTGTCTTTCAACAATACACATTCACACCACAATTTGTTGCACGTAGACTGTAGAAATATTCATGTATTGATAGTTTTACACATATCTTGACTATATTGTCAACATGTCCTGATTGATGAAAGTTCGACCCACTATCTGTCTGCAATTTGAATCCATTGCATACTTATAGTGATTTCTCAAGTTAGCGAATCCACCAGGAACCTCTCATTTCGTTTCTATCCGTTTCTACCCTCGAAAGCAGCACTTTTTCGACCTGCCCCAAAATTCAAGGATGTTTTGCCTCAATCAATCTGTCGTTGAATTGCGGAACGAACATGTTTCATATAATCTACCTCGACTTGACATGTACTAGTAACTTGTACTTCATGACTATATCCATCTTTGACCTTACTGAAATTGATGTTATGGATGTGTTTTTTCATGCTACATAGCTTCATGGATAATGATGGATATGGATTTGTCCAGCAATGGGATGTACCCCATTCCACCCACTGGTTCATCATAATTTCATCATTTCTACATATATATGTTACAACCACAAATTGGCGCATACTCCTGGCCAAAACTATCTGGAGATGGGTCAAAAATGGTCAACAAACTTCAGTTGACCCCTCATGGATGGATGGCTTCAGATCCTCCAAAATCAGCTACAAAATGACCACCAGCTAGTGGCTCCAGATGGCTCCAGATGGCTCCCCCACCTTTTGACCCCCAGTGGTTTTCCCCAGCAAATCATCTACCCTCTGGAAACCTGCCACGTGGCTAGCTGGAAAATCCCCCCCATAAATCTGGGATGTCCAATTGCTATGTTTGATTAATGAAGGGTAATCACAATCCCCTGTAGATTGATGATGTTCCTGTGTTTCCCATTAAAATCTCAAAAATCCTTGGTAATTTTTGTTGCCCAGAAGGGTTGGTCCAAACTGGGGCACCCCTGGTGGTATCTGGATGGCTTCCCCATTCAGAACGACCATTTGTTGATGCCGTCTGGAAAATTCTGTGGCCATCGGTGTCCCGTCCATTTGTGGCTTGGAAACTCAGCTACATACATAAGTTACCATCCATTTACCATCTATTTTCTTGGGTCCAAGCATCCATTTACCATAATTTACCATCCATTTACTATCCATTTACCATAAACAGAGGTCCCAAGCATCGGCCGCAACCC